TTGCATCTTTTTGAAGCACTCTCATGTGCGCGGTGAGAAACTGCTATCAAGGGCACTCATACTTCTTCACCCGCTTCGCTTGGTTGAGCCATCCCCAGTAGCGAGGGACGTAGTGGTCACATCCGAAGGTGTCCAACTCAGCGTCATACCAGCCACACTCCCACTTGTGAGTGCCAGCCCACTTGGGAACCAAAAACTGGGGTTGTACCGTCCTTTTGGGACAAAGCTTGTCGAAATCAGGTCCGCTGAGAACAACCTTTGAGGTCACTCCATTCCAAATGGTCCATGATCCGTCGCATGTGATCTTGACCCATTGGAAAGGAAAGTTCCGCGACCAGCCACTGTAGTGCACACTCCACTCACCTGCCAAGTTTGCAAGGATCGGATCCGTGATCTTCTTTGCTTCCAGGCTGGCAGGATCGTCAGCGGTACAGCACTCAGCAGAACAGGCCTTAGCAGGAGCATCGCTGGGCAACCCTTTGTAGTTGGCCTCTTCATAGGCTGCAGCACCAGCTGTTCCGGCAGCCTTCTCGCATGCCTTGGCTGCTCTGGGGATGGGACTTGGGTATTGCAACTTGATGGCCGCGTCAACTTCGGTGGTGTAGTCCTTGGTCACACAATCTGTCAGGGCTGTTTTCTTGTCCTTGGAAGCGGTGGTGAAGACGGATAGCTGGCACTCCATCTGTAACACGGCCATCCACTCATGCTTCAAACCACCTTCTTGGGTTTCCACAGAGGCTTGGTCCACTTTGTATGATGCGGTGGCCTGCTCATTGCATGTTGCATACTCGGTGCACACCAAATTAGATGCCTCCAGAATCTGGCAGGAAGTTGCATCCATGAGATCTTGTTCCTCGTCACATGTTGTCTTTTGGCCTGTCCAGCTGGACTTCAAAGCTGAACATGATGACACCTGAGCAGTCTCAAGTACCAAGCAGTTGGATTCACTCATTGAATCCAATAACCACGATTGAAGATGCATATGTCACCGTCTACACAAAACACATGTGTGGTAAATCACAAATTTCACATCACAGTTTAGCCTACTGCACATATGTCTGAATGTCTCTGGCATGTTCCTTTTGTTTTTCTCGATCTTACGCTTGCCCACCTTTGTCTCGAAGTCCTCGGAGGCCTTGTTGCATTTCTTTTCTGCAGCCAAGGCCTTCTCCTTCTCAGCCTCATAGTACACTTCCATCCTTCCACTGAAGGCACTGTAGGTCTCTCCATTCTCACGAACCGAATTACCATGAGTAATGGCATTCAGGTCTGCAACCACCTCGCCAAGGCAAGTCTGGTGAGCAAAATGAAACAAACTTATATGTGATGAACACATAACAAAACTGCAGTTGTGGCAAGAAAGTTCACAGCAGCAAACCACAATGATCAACCACAATATGCTTGCATGAAAATAGAGAGTCCTGCCTTGCAAGCACTTTCTTTGGCAACCTTAAGCTTCTCCTCCTCTTCAGCACAAGCATCAAATGTGGTTTTTGATTCAGCCTCAAGAGTGCGGCAACTCACATGCTTAGCGCGACTTGTCTCGAAGCTGGCTTGCTTGGTGGCTACCGCTCCGGCAGATCCCTGTGCTGCAGCCAGCACAGCGTCGCAAGCATCAAAGCCCTTTGCATAGTGATTGGACAACTCTGTCTGCAAAGAATCCTTCGCAGCAAGAACGGAAGCCTTCAACGTATTTTCCAAGAGGTCTTTCAATTCTGCCGCAACCTCGGAAGCGCCAGGACCATTCTGAGACAAAAGGATCTGCAGGGATTGGTTCATCTTGGCCAACTC